TTTTTTTTTTTCAATCATAAGATGATGTTGAATTTGAACATTGGCAAATATCTGAGATTTTTTTTAAAGATGAGAGTAGTAACGAAATTCTATTAATCAATAATCCCATAATTTTTGAAATTAATCAAATTAGAAACTAGGTCGACCAAAAATTTAAATATTTGGCCACAAATTTAAATGAACTTAATGATCACGCATGCATGACGTGTCAACTTTTATTTATTTGTTTTTCCGAAATGATACTTTCATAAATAAATACATAACTAGTATTCGACCTGTGCATTTGCACAGATGTAAATAAAGTATTATGAGTTATTTGTATGCATATAGTGATTAATAATTTTTCTTGCACTTTTGGTCGGCCAAATATACATTTAAAAGAGCTGGAATATTTACTTTTTTAAATTGTGTTTATTATATTGGATATAATTATATTTTGGTATATATTTTTTTTATGAATTAATTATTATTTATTTAGGAATTTTAAATATGTTTTTTTTTTTTTTTTTCAAAAGAAGTTAATTTAATTGTAACCACAACAATAACATCTAATCACGTTAAATAGTCAAAACATTATATGGTCAGTTGTAATTAAATCAAAAGTTTAAAATTATTTTTGTATTTTAAGTGATTAGTTTGTTGATTATCTAATAATTAAATGAGAGGTTAAATAAATAAAAAGTAACGGTTTTTGGAGGGAAAAGTTATATTGCCACATAGGTATAATTTAATAGGTTTAATTTAATGCTCATATGCTAGCAATTATATATATATAGATTACATAGTAGAAACTAGCTAAGTAGCCGAATAATTAGCTATTCAGCTGACTCTAGTTGGAAGGATTACACCAATGACATTCTAGAACCAACCGAAAATGCTCCAAACGGGAGAAAAACAAAGCTCCCACTAATAGCTAGAATAAACTCCCTCCACCAGCCGTCGAGCCACTCCAAAACACCCTGGAACGAACACATAGCACAAGGTAACCAACCAAGAAGGCCCAACCCACGACCCACACACAAGATTTGGAAACTCTCTACCGGTTAACTGGACCAAAATAAAATTGTAGCTGCAATCTATATATATATATATATATATATATATTAAAAGGTTGATGAATATTCTAAAATAGTAAAAAATTGAGCTATTTTTAGTTTTAAATTGAATTTTCATTTGAAATAAAAAAAAATTATAAAAAAAACACGTCATTTATCCTTCACCTATACAATGCAGACAAGCTAATAAATTAAGGATAGATTAATTCATAGATTAGTTAATTGTTTAAATAAATTAAAGAAGACATGGCGCGGTCTTCAAAACGCAATTAAGGTAATCATCCCGGCTAATGACGCTGGCCGCACGTGAGTTATAATTACAGGGCCCGCATTTTTTTCTCATCCTCACGTGCGGCTTCTTTTTGTTTTATCCGCAGGGCTCGAAGGCCCATATTCTTGTTTCCTCCTGTTCCAGTTTGTCTTTTAATTTTTAAATCTTGAAATTATCTTTTTAATCTTGAAATTACGAATGCAATTTTTTTTTTTTCCTAAAATTACACATGTCGTTGTAAAATGTTTTGATTTTGTTTGGATTTTTCGATTTCAAGTTGGTTAATTTCGAAAAATGTAGTATGATTTAATCATTAATGAGATTTGAAGTTTATATTAAAATAATATTTAAAACAACGTAACTAAAGCTGATTTAATGTAAAAATAGGAGAGATATGTCGTGAAGTGATGGTTTGTTAAAATTATGTGAATAGATATATAGTAAATTAAAGTTGATGTAATATGTAAGAATAATTGATTGATATTATTTAACTATATTA